GCCAAATGAAATCGCAGTACCTTCCACTGGTGCGACGGTTCTGGATGTACTTCGCGATAAGCACCCGACTCCTGTGGAGCCACCTGAAACCGTTTTGTTGGAGAATGATGCAGCACCGGTCAATGACATAATATTTGAAGGTATTTCAGCAGCAGGCATTAAGAGGGTGGCTGGCAGTATGAAGGGATCCGGTGGTCCGTCTGGCCTGGACGTGCAGGCCTGGCAGCGTATGCTCTCGGCCTTTAAAGGTGCTTCTTCAAATTTGGCTGCCGCTCTTGCTGCTGCTGCCAAGAGGATATGCACGACGGATATAGACCCTGCTTCTCTGTCGGCTTTTGTTGCGGCACGGCTCGTGGCATTGGACAAGAGACCAGGTGTGCGCCCGATTGCGGTGGGGGAAGTCGCTCGCCGGATCATCGCTAAGGCTGTGTTGCAGTGTATATCGTCTGATATCGCGACAGCCGTGATCCCTCATCAGCTGTGTGTTGGTGTGCCGGCGGCTTGTGAGGCGGCTGTGCGTGCCGTCCAGGAACAATATCTCGCCGATGACACTGATGCAATCTTACTCATCGATGCATCTAATGCCTTTAACGCAATCAACAGGAAGGCCGCCTTGCATAATATCGCACGTGTGTGTCCACCGATGGAAAAAATTTGTCGTAATACATATGGTGCGGATATTCCACTATTTCTTCCTGGTGGCGTAGTATTGTACTCGCGCGAGGGAACTTGTCAGGGAGACCCTCTGGCCATGGCCATGTTTGCTCTTGCGGTGGCTCCTATGATTTGTAAACTCCGTGAACAGCACCCTGATGTGAACCAATGCTGGTACGCGGATGATGGCGAGTCTGGTGGCAGATTGGCGGCCGTGCATTCGTTTTGGAAATCAATCGAGGAGATTGGCCCGAAGTATGGATATTACCCTAATGCAGCCAAAACAGTTCTGCTGGTGAAACCCGCCCTGGAGTCAGAAGCCCGAGAGCTGTTCGACCCAACGGGTATACGTGTGCTGACCAATGGTGTTCGTTATCTTGGTGGGGCCATTGGTGAGGAGGAATTTGTACAGGAGAGTCTGTGTCGTCATGTTTCCGTATGGTGCAGGGAGGTCGGTACTCTCTCCACTCTGGCGGAAACCCAGCCACATGCTGCATATTCTGTTTTCTCCCGTGGATTGAGGTCGCGTTGGCGCTATCATATGTGCTCACATGGCTTGCCGGAGCCGGATGCTTTCGGCAGGCTAGATAATGTGATTGACAACAGTTTGATACCAGCAATCACTGGTCGGAAGAACATGTCCGCCATTGAGCGGAGTCTCATCGGCTTGCCTGTTAAGTCCGGTGGTCTCTCAATTCCTGCCATTGGGCCCCATGCAGTGCATCAGTGGACCTCCAGTATGGCCTCGGCACGGCCGGTGATTGATTTGCTTCGTCGCCCTGATGCTGACATTGCTCCGGCTGATTTGCAGGCGGAGGTAATAGCGTTGCGAAATGCCGAACGTCGGAGAATGGCTACTGCGGCTAAGGAGGCTCAGGTTGCTTTGCGTCCTGAGCTCAGCCCATGTCAGCGAGTGCTGTTGGAGATTGCTGCTGATGCTGGCGTGTCCAGTTGGCTAACGGCTGAGCCTCTGGCTGTGAACGGCTTTGCGCTAAATAAAGCATGTTTCCGGGATGGTCTCGCCCTGCGCTATGGCTGGGGTATTGATGGCCTCCCACCAACTTGTGTGTGTGGTAGAGACATGTCTGTCGACCATGCATTGACATGCCCTACAGGGGGCTACCCAAGTCTGCGACACAATGAGCTTCGTGATGTGCTGGTGGAGGTGATGACTTCTGCCATCCCGGATGTTCAGACAGAGCCACCGCTTTTGCCGTTGGATGGTGAACAACTTCACGGCGCTACCGCTAATCGTGCTGCAGAGGCTCGATTGGATATCCGTGCAAGGGGCTTTTGGTCGCCACAGCAAGATGCATTCTTTGATGTGAGGGTTACTCACCCCTCGGCGTCTTTGCTGTCGCGACAGGAAGTCCTTGCACAGATTTCCCGGAATGAACATCAGAAGAAGCGGGCCTATCTTCAGCGTGTTGTCGATGTCGAGAGGGGGTCATTCACTCCGCTCGTATTCTCGACAAACGGCGTATGTGGCACGGAGTGCTCTCGTGCATTGAAGAACATTGTTCAGCTGGTGGTTAACAAGCATAGTGACCTCCAGTACGCTGTTGTGATGGCACAGCTACGCTGCAAAATTGCATTTGTTTTGCTGGGGTGGTCAATCACGTGCCTCCGTGGTTGCAGAGCGTCTTACTTGAGGAAGAGAATAGGCCCATCTTTTCTCGACCAATGTCGCCTTCTGTCCATGTAACCGCCTTCGGTATTCATATGTTGGCCTATTTAACATTGGCATGCTCTGCGGATTTGTAGGCATGCTAGGCAATTTAAATATTATCCTGCAAAGTATTTTGTAGGTGCTTGACTACTATACTACGTCATGTATTACAATTGGTACATGACTTAATAATAGCCGTTTGGCATGGTACAATAACCTTTTTTTGTTTTATTTTTTATTTTTAATGGCTTTCTCTTCTTCCTCGGATGGTTTACAATTTGTATCACAATTATTTGTGGGTTCAGCAATAAAGGATGTGACTAGTACTAGTAGTACTAGTACTAGTAGTACTAGTACTACTAGTAGTACTAGTACTAGTAGTACTAGTACTAGCACTAGTACTAGCACTAGTACTAGCACTAGTACTAGCACTAGTACTAGCACTACTAGTACTCATACTAGTAGTACATTATTACACAAGACAAGTAGAATCTACTGTTGGTCAAATCGAGAGTGACAGGTTTTCCACACTGAGCGCAGTGCACGTCGTTTCAAGTCCTCTCGACCCGCTGCACACCCAGCTACGCTCACAACACTCAAACGCCAGGTTGATCACAATCATAACTACTATTAGAGAGGTTCTGCAAAACGAAAATGTGTACGAACTTTCGCTCTACGTCACGAAGTGAGAAACTTCGCACGAACTTTCGCAACTTTGGACGCGAAACTTGCAGGGAACGCGAAATGAACTTTCGTAGGAAGTTTCGTGAGATTGGGTCATGTCGTACGTGCACTTGGCGCGTACGCGCGCGTGCAAACTACGAAAATGTGCAGAACACAAAGTTCGTGCGAAAATTCGTACACACTTTCGCAAGGCCTGTCGCGAAACTTCGTTCGAACTTTCGTTGTGCAGAACCTCTCTACTAGTACTATTTGAATGGACTCGGATGGAGAGCCAAGGATAAATTTGTAGAAAGAAAAAAGACCAAGGAACTACATGTACAAGTTACGCTGTCCACTAACACCAGCACTCCGGCACCAGTTACTAAACAATCAGCTCATACGATAACATTACACCAGTCACACTGACCGACGGGACTGACGTTTTACAACTAACTGGCTAACAGCGCTAGCACATCTTGGATGCGCACTCCAACAGCCTTCCAACTTGGAAGGTTCCAAGTAAGTTATAGAAATAACATAAGGAGGGGGAAGGTGAGCGCAACCAAGACAAGCAAGAGCTGAAAGTCTCAAGTGTGCAGGACGTTGGCGGATGTCCATGCATGCATGTCGATGACGATACTGGCAAGATCATTGGACAATACGGTCAAACCACGACGTAATGGCCTCTTTGCAAAGCTGGAGATTGTGCATCGACGGATTCTCCGGGCAATACTTCGTTTGCCGCCCGAGACCAACATAGCCGTTCTCTATGAAAATTGCTTTACATTTCCTCTGAAACATTACATTGACCGATCCTCCTGCGTATACATTCACAAAATCAAACTTATCACTGCCCCTCAGCATGTGCAGCATTCCTTAAACTGGTTCAATGAATCCTCAACAAGCCGGAACTCGCTTCGTTTCCCGATTGCAAGAAACAATTCCATGAGCAACTCGCCTGTATTCCTAGCATACCAATTATGGGATTCTCTTCCTCAGCAATTAAAGTCCAGCAACACCCTGAATGCTTGATAAATATACACGCACGTCGATCTTCATTTACTAATCATTGATTTTCATTCTCTTTGTGTATTATTCAAGCTCCAAAGTAAATCACATAATTATGCTACCTGTAAAATTCATTTGGGTTTTGGATTGATTTTTTTATAATTGATTTTGGTTTTGGATTGATTTACTTTTATTTCATTTTCATTTAACTTGCCATATTTTGCGTGTGCATTTTTGCCTTCTTGTTCTTTTATTCCATGGCTGGTAGCCCTCATTCATAACATTGGTTGACACCATGCATATCGCGTCTGCCCAGTGTTGACTCCGAGACCACCGGTCGGACGAGCTGCCCAGGCCTCACCACCACTGCCGTTTCCGTGCTGCCTTCTCGATACATACGTATGTACACTGTATATCATGTGCACATTCACATGTCTGAAGGTTTGTGGTTTTTCAATAAAAAAAATTTAATAAATAAAAAAATGTCATCCATGAATTGAGAATAATAATAATAATAATAATTGGAGTAGGCGCAGCGCTACACCATGCTGCGATGCCACTCTAGCCCTAGCTACAACCCTGGCCGACATGCCAGCCACGAAGAAGGCAAGATTGGCTGTGGGTCCTCTGCACTCAGTAGAGTCAAGTCGAGCGAGCTGCAACTCCCGGTCCCGAAAGGCCGGCTCATGCCAACGCCCCTACATGGCTACTTCCCCCTGTATAACCCCGGCCCCCAAGACGAGAATAATTAGCCGACTGGCCGAAATAAAATAATAAAATAATAAAAATAAGATTGGTTGAGTGCAATAAAAGCCACTGGATACGACTACGTCATGTATACGTGGTACTGGGCAGAGAAATCCAGCCTCTTGAATAAAGCAGCACCGCGCGATACACAGCCCGAGCACTATACATACTGTTCTGTGCACTCGAACGCGGCACTGCTATATACATGTACATCATGAGGTTGGATTTCTTTGGCCAGAGCTGTATGTCAAGAACAGGGCAAGGAACTCGACCAATACTCAAAAATATTTCATATCAAGTAAGACAGCACAACAATGGTCAATAGAATATTGTTCATAATTTGGGTAGAAGGAGTGTGTGTGTGGGGTGGGGGGGGGGGGAGGGGCTGGAACGTCTAGCCCTTGCTGGATTGGAAAAAGAGGAAAAGAAAAAAATGAGAAAGGAAAGAAACGGAATTGGCCACCAGCAATGAGAATTACAGTATAAACTTCTATATTAAAAATATTCTCAATGGGCAAAAGCACTCTCATCATCTGCCTAATAAAAGATCATGGATGCACTTTGCCCTAATATGAACACGGAAATGGAGATTAAAAACACTGCTCAAAATAGAATTCTTCGGTCCCTGAAGACTTTAAAACAAGTGCAGTTTGTCAAGCTTCCTCCATCGCCTCTTCACCTGACTCCCCGTCAGCACTATCTCCAGCATCATTGCCGCTGTCGGATTCATCAGCGGAACCGCCGTCATCTCCGGCATCAAAGGCGGAAACACTCTTCTCACGAGTAAGCCGAATCCGGTCCTGGACAAACTGCATTGACAACAATGCACAACCCACAAGAAGACATGGATTGTGCCACAGCAATTAACATGAACATGATCCTTGAAGGGTGGTGGCGCGCTCCTACAGATGCGGATAACTCGGCCTCTAGCCAAGTCTCACGCGAACCGTGAATTTTTTTAAATTATCATGAGTCGTATACACTTGCACACACACTCACCCACCTCGCACTAGGCTCGACTCTGGCCATGCCAGTGTTGTTTTGGGCAGGCAGGCATGCACGCACGTACGCTTGCGTGTGCACACATACACAGGCGTGCACACATACACGTACACACAGCCACTCACACGTGCACATATACAAAGGTCCACACGTACTGATCCGCCACTCGCGCACCAAAAAAACACATACCTGAAGGAGCAGCTCGCGGTGCTGGTCCTCGGTCACATCGTCTGTGCGCTTCGGAGTTTCTTCAGCAAGCTCATTCTGTCGAATCACAATGGATAGCTCACCAATGGTCATGAAGGGTGCTGGATCAAGAGCATGGCTGTTGATGACATGGACCAGATACTCCTTATAGTGCTTCCTGCACAGCAATGGGTAGGAATGAGCACACAGCAGTGAAAACTAGAACAAGAGCGGCACAACAAGAACAGCTAAGAACGTAGAACAATGTAGAAGACTGATACTGTGACGACAACGATACTCAGACTCTTGGAGAACGGATGAAGTCTTCCTGAAGATGTGAAAATTGAATACCAGCGTAGGTTGTTGACTTAAGGACTATTACTTTAGTATTAGAACACTGCCATATCTCAAATTTGATGGAACTATTGCCTGTCAAATGCGTGGGAGAGCAGGCCAGCTGACTGCTTATGCTCTTTGGTTTTTGCAGGGATGAATTTATCCTGTATCGCATCGCAGTTTGCGATGCAAAATCAATCTACTGCTACTCAAAAGTCACCATGACTCGCAGAAAACTGCGATACATACAGACTGTCCATGCCTAGCCTGCGCTGTCAAGTAACATGCATCCAGTACAGTGTAGACAAAGTGTCTGGGGTCCTTGCTGCAAAGTGTATGTGGTGCAGGCACTCAATCTGCGTGCACATGCATGATTCAGTTGGGTTTTTTTGCAAATGGGCTTTCAGGCATCACTCTCAAGAAGGACAATGTGGTAAACACCCAACCTTCAAAGAAAAATGCTAATCAAAATCAAAGAGTGCTACACAATTGTGATTTTGTATAGCAGAAACTGCTATGCAAAAATATGACAATACATTCATCCCTGGTTTTGCATGGTTCACGTGCAGACAACTAAGTTGCCACGATTTACGTGCGCATAACAGGTGAGACACGGGTGGACAGCAGAGACCGAGTCCAATGGTTTATGCCCTGCATCACATGAACACCCGTATTATTCAGTGCCTGTCTGCCTGTCTGCCTGTCTCTCTCTCTCTCTCTCTCTCTCTCTCTCTCTCTCTCTCTCTCTCTCTCTCTCTCTCTCTCTCCCTCTCCCTCTCTTCCCCCCCCCCACCTTCTGCACCTGCACCTTGTTTTCAGGCATACCTACCCACTTGATCTTGTAAATTCCAACAAAAGTATAAACTTATCCTAAATGAGAGAGAGACAAATCACTTCCACAGGCCGATGTCGTTCCACTCACACTGTCTCAGACAGCTCCCACAGTCACTGGAAACCTCCAGACAAAAAACTTACTCGCACAATCCGGCATGGTCGTTGACGGCATCGCGCCCGCAGAGCTCGTCGAATAGCCGCGTCCCGTCCTGTTTCTGCTCGCTGATGGAGCACTTGACTTGAGCACCGTCGTCTCCGGCAGATTCTTGCGCTTGCCGTATCTGCAAGAAGACACAGTGAACATACAAATTGGTAATTCACGAATGCTCATTAGCGTACACAAAATTCATCCCGATACATGACGCCTGGTGATAGCCTGACCCACTCACATGGAACTCAAGAGTTACGAGAAAAGCTTATCTGACTGTTCTACTTTGAGTTGGCTTGGCCGTGTGGTGACGAAAAACTCAGATATAACTTTTAAAGCTTACTTTGTGATTCCACTTGTGCACAACTTGCACAGTTGCAGGGCACTTTCGGATGGTACCAAAGTCGATCTGTTTTGGTCTTACCTGTGCCTCGGTCGGCTGAGTGCGATACTCGACTCCGCTCTTCTTCAAGATGTCTTGGAGATGCGCGACGTCGCAGTCCCTTAGCCGAGACAGGCAGTCCCGTGGACAGTGGCAGTGGAAACCCATGGCTTTGTGATTGGGCCGACCGCACTCCTGCGCAACAAAGAGGGCATACACGAAGGGAAACACCACCAGCCGATCTCAAATTACAATAAATGCTATCATTCACCACAAACGAAAAGAACAAGAACACGAAAGTTGTTGGACCAAACCTGTTGGACCAACAGTGAAATCTTGATATTCTAGTTGCCCAGAAGAACAATGGAACAGAGTGTGGCTTCTTTAAACCTTGGTTTTGGACTACAAGCTAGCATAATGAGGCATGCCAGTATAATCCTTCATGTGCTTTGATAACAAGATACTAAAAGTTGACCCTTGGCAGAGTCACAAGTCGAAGGTAACATGTCACCAACACAGCTTCAGTAACGTACCTCCCCGCGCATGAACGGATTGTTGCATCCACTGCAGAACTCGTGCTTGCACTGCGAGCACGTGAAGTGCATGCAGGCACCGCGTGACATCTCGTAGCGGAAATGGCAGCTGGGGCAGGCTGCAAGACGAACGGGTGCAGAGAACACAAAATGCCATGAGTATCCTGTGCAATACGCCATTGCGATACACCACAATTGCATATAGCTCTGAATACCAAGTGGATTCAATTTCGTAAAGGATTAGGTATTACATGATCATGTAAGCCGACATTATTACTTTCAAGTTTCAAGACCTATATTACTGGACTGCAATGCAGGCACTTTGCTGTCGCCATCTTGCTGACTTAGCAGTTTACAACACGTATGCATGCATGCATGCACATACATGCATGCACATACATGCATGCATGCACATACATGCATGCATGCACGCACACACATACACACACACACACATGCACGTATGCACGCACGCACGCACGCACGCACGCACGCACGCACGCACGCACGCACGCACGCACGCACGCACGCACGCACGCACACACACACACACACACACACACACACACACACTGGCACACACACTGGCACACACACACACTGGCACACACCCACCACACACACACACACACACACACACCCACACACACACACACACACACACACACACACACGCACAAACCATTGCGCGAAATCGCGCATCTATGAGCGACATCCACATAAACTGCTGGGACCATGGTTGTGTACTCGAATCTCATTCTGAGCACCCTTTTTTCTTCCTTTTTTCAGCCGTTTTTTGCAAAAAGTCCTCGAGCTCGATTTTTTTTGATCGATCGTTCTTCAAGGAAAGACGAGTGGACAATCGATCAACAGGGCCGAGGACGAATGCGTCTGGTTGGAGTTCTTGCGTGGCACAGGATGACCAGACACACATATAGATACATTGCGACGATCTAATCTGCACAGTGTTTCCTAATACCGCACGCACGACGGTAAGTACAATTCATGTGATTTCAAATTGTTTGTGATCTACAACGTCGCGAGCAGGACGGAAATACAGCAACAGCACGACAACCGTTATACCAGGCAGTAACCAACAGTCACCTCCGTCACATTCTCCAGATCAGAAGGCAAGTGAGGCAGTGAACATGAAGAAATAAAGTATGAAAGAATGAAAAGTGAATAATTCAAAAATCTCAGAAACGTTGAACGTAAAAAACACTGAGAACAAGAAAAGTGACTTACTTCGATGGCAAAAGACAAAGCGAATGTTCCTCGTATGGACCTGGCTCTTGCGGAATCAGCCACACTGTGGAACCATGTGTTTGATTCCACAAGGGATGGCTACCTGCTCCTCACCAACCAGCCTCCACGACGGTGGTAAAGTCGCCAAAAATACGAAAGTTGAACATTTTGTGCATGCATGCAATAGAAAATTTGTGCTGAGTATTGTCGAGTGGCCATTCGCACAGGACAAAGCCGTTGCGCAAGCTGTGACCCTGAAATTTCGTCCATTGGTAGCGAGGGTAACCCTGAGCTGGAAAGTGTAAGGGATGGCATGCTACACTCCCCCGCATACGCTTGACAGCACGATTTGAGGCGTGGAGTAGTAATATACCAGTATCTTACTACCCCTTGATACCTGATGCATGGACGTCGTCATCTTCATCCCGCAGATCGAAAATGTACAGGTGTCGCGTGATTTCGCGCAATGACCCACAAAACACACCCACACCCACATCGTCATGCTGAACTTACTGATGCCATGCTCTGCCAAGTGAGCAGCAAGGCCCTTTTGCTGATACTCTTCATCGTTCTCTGTCTTCCAGCGGTGAAACTGCTCACAGGACTTACTTTGATGCTGTTCCTCCCACTAACAAACGTACACGTAATGTGTACACATGCACACATATCACATACAAACACACACACACACACACACACACACACACACACACACACACACACACACACACACACACACACATGTATATTCACAGATGTGCACAACCACACTACCATGCCCTCAGGGCCACAGAGCTCTCACAAAGTCAAAGATTTGGCAAGCTAACTGTTATGATGGGTGGGATGAAAAGAAACCTCTTGCATGAAGCACCAACAGACTACAGGTGAATGTGTGCAGCTCAGCAGCTGCTCACCGTAAAGGATTGGCATTGGGACTGAAGGATACAATTCTCACATACTAGGTGACATCCACTGCTCAAACAGTGCTCAATATGGCGAGGGGGGGGGGGGCTTCTAACACAGATGTTTGTACAATTTGTTCAGAGGTTCATGCGAAGCTCAAATTCAACTGACACTGCCGGGGCTGTGTGATTCGTTTCATCGTACACTAATATGCACTGTGCTGCTTGGCAACCAGCGGTTGTGAGGCCACACCGCGCCGTGAACACCTCAAACAATGTAGTCATTGAAAAAAGTCCTTCCATGCGGTGTGTACCAGATGGGTGCTTGCTTGTGCCACCGGTCAACTGCATGCCAATCAGTATGATGCTCACCTTGACTTTGCACTTGAAGCAACTGCTCTCACGACACGTGGGACATGCCACACAGAAGCGATCCGGTATTTCGTTCACAAAGCCGTTATTGCACTGCAATAACAAAGCACAGATATTTCAGCATAGTCAAGAGCAATTCTCGTATGGATGGGTGAAAAGAAAGAGGCCGTCCGTAAACAAAGACATATTTCCAAAAACGTTACATTGGGGGAAGGGTTGAAGAGCTGTTCACTTCATTACCGACATAGGTTCTGGAAAAATATCGATTCAATTCAATTGTCAGCATCCGTGTGTGTTTGTCACCGGGAGGCCATATGAGGAGAAATACAGAACTGGTAAAAAGATCAGCGAGGAGAGGCTCGACTGGAATCTACCTGGCTTGATACCCTACTGGCTGTAATTGCCCCCCCCCCCCCCATTCAATTGAATGGTGTATCTGAGGACTGGAATGTAGCTACTCAAAGCACAAAGCAGTGGAATGATTAACAGCACCTTCAAATCGAAGAAAACAATGCAGCGGGCAAGAAAGGCAACTACATGGCATAATGTTAGTACCAGGTGCATTGACTCAACTTGATAACATTTCCCCATCAATGCACTCCCAAACAAACGTTTGTCTGGGGGGGGGGGAACCCTGAGATTTCCAACATGATCCGCGAAAATCCTCAGAATACCACAAACAAATGCCATAATTGGTTTTTGTTTCAATGCCCAGCCGGACTGTCTCCATTTCTATCTCCAGTAATGCATACAAACTTACATGTGGACACCAGCGGAAATCACTGCTACGATGCATAGTGAAGTCGGCCAGCTTCTTGTGAAACAGATCATGCTGGTCTATGGGCAGCAGGTTGCGTAGCTAAAAAACAAACACACACACAAACACACACACACACACACACATGCACGTGGACACACATCATTGACAAACGCACACACACACATGCACACACACACACACACACACACACACACACACACACACACACACACACACACACACACACACACACACACACACACACACACAGGTATTAAGTTTTAACGATAGCTTTCATGCCATCCTACCGGTTAACTGCTTTCGGCTGAGAATTTTCTCGAAACAAATGTTGAGATGAGGTCATTCTCATCAACCACCACATCATAACTGCGCTCTCCAGCCAACTCGACACGTTGCCACAGCATACCACCAGCAAAGCGACACATCCATTGGTACTGAATTCCTTCATACAGCTGTTTACCCCTTTATTGAGATGAGGTCTTTGGAAGGGAAAGCAATGGCGCAAAATGCGAAACTATGTCTAGTGCATTGCATATGTGCAATTATATCACTTGTCAAAATGGCCGCACATACTCCCGTCGAAGCACTAGCAACTACTTCCCCCGGAAACAAAAACTTCGTGACTTTTTGACATGACTTTTCAAGGAGTTGCTGTGCTCAACAAAAGTGTTGTTTTGGACAAGAATCATGTCAACACATTCAATCAACACATCTACAATATCTACAGGATCGATTTGTGGGAGTAAAGTCTCAGTCTGGGTCACCATCGCTCGACTCATCACCGCTGAAACTGTTCCAAGTGGCAGGTCGATCGATGCGATGTCGTATGTCACGGAGAAAGTTCTCTGCGTCCCTGATCGTCTTCGCTGTTACCTGAATGCCTTCTCCGACATCTTGGCGTGGACCGCGGTAGCGCTGCAGCGCTGGTACTCATTCCCGCATCCGCTCTCGCTCGAGGATGCCCCGGCCAGAACAACAAACACAGACAACGCCAAACATTTCAAATTTCCTCCGAGGGATATCATAGTCGTACCAGCACTTCCCGACTGCCGCGATCAGATCTCGCCTTGGCTGCTGGAAAAGGCGAGATCACCCACGTTGAGGTCTGGGCTCTGCAGTGGCTGAACGACTTCTATTTTGAACTTGTTCATCCTGCTCTGCTGCGGGAAGTGATGATTGTCACATCTCTGCGTTTCGGAGTTTTGACATCTTGCCGACCTGTTCGCATGCAGACAGGCGTTTCAGGGATGGCGAAGATTTCAAAACACTAGCTGCTATTGCTATTCATTTTCCACTCTTCTTGCTCCTCGGTGCCATTGTCCTGCTCTGTCTAGTTCTGAACTAAAAATAGCTACGAGCAGTGAGCGCAGTGCTTTTCTTCGCATTGTGCATGATGGACGAAAAATGAAAAAAATGTTCGCTTTGTTTTGTTTACAGCGTCAACACCCTTGCTGTGCGACGGCTGTCGGCTCTCCACAATATGTATCATGTTCTCCTACGATTCCGAAATGTCATGTCAGTGCTTCAGGCTGACAGAACCAGAGAGAGAGAGAGAGAGAGAGCGAAATAACAGCAGCGAAAAGTAGTGAAAAAAAGCCACGAAGCTTTTGTTTCCGGAGGAAGTATGTCCAAGTGAATTTTTATCATGACTCGTCGATCGTGGTGAGGACTTATTGCCTTTCTCAGCTTGCCGTGGCAGTGGAGTGGAAATTCTATACTCCACTTCCTCAATTGCCATTTGCTGTTGCCATGGCACTTCAAAATGTGCCTTGTGCGGTCACGCCCAAAATGTGTGGACTCCTTCATTAACTCCTTAGCAACAGTTTCGGGTCAGGTTTTAGGTCAATGTTAAAACAGAGGCCGTGCAGCATGTCTGAGTATGATGGTCCGAACTACCGACAGGTCTTACCGGTAGGTCCGGGGTCTACGCAAGCTATCATCGTGGATTATACAAGAATACACTTGAGGACGAGTTTGGCTGCAACCTAAAGTTCCAGACACGTGGCAAGTATCAGGCAGTGGATTGCTAGCATACTCACAAAGATATCCAGGCAGCCGAGGTAGTCTTGCAGATAGGTAACGTCCTCGGCCATCTGCAGTACGTTTGGCATTAGGCACACTGGGCAAACAAAGCGGATGAGGTTGTATTCCAGGATGCAGACCTTGTAGTACTCTCGCAGGCAGTCAGAGCACACGTGACACTCACAGTAACCAGTCGACAGAATCTACACACGAATAACAGGCAGGTTGAAAAGAGAGCAGGCATTAAAGCAACCATAAAATCATTTCCATACACGCTGCTATTATTTTCACTTGAAAATACCTCTCTCCATTCTACACTCCAGCACATTTACGGCTTTCGGCTGCACCGAAAGAAAAAGGCTGCCAATATTGTCACCCATTCCGCATTATTACGGCATGACTGCCATAACTCAATGCCCTGCAGATGCCCAATGGGTGAAATATTGGCAGCTGTTTCATTCGGTGCGGCTGAGAGCCAGTGCTGGAGTGTAGAAGGGAGGGGAGGGGGGGGGGGGTATTTTCAAGTGCAAAGAATAGGCTGCAGTGGAGACTTTAGAGAGTTCACAAGAAACGTTCAAGTCAAAACTCCCTTCTAAAGCCTGGCACTTTTCATAGGCCTCTACGGCATCAGACAATGTATCGCCATCAGTGCAACTCTGTGCAAAGGGCACTACCTACAAGTACAGTACTCCTATACGCGTTGCAAATTGGCAATATGCATCCAAGAAACACCCAACAGGTTTGAGAGTGATCCCGAATATGTTGGAACTAGGGAAATACATTCAGTGAGAAGGCAGATATTGCCTGGGCCTATGGTGAAGTAAAATAATACTAAGCAAACAAATGACACGCTCGCATTCCCCCCCCCCCCCCCCCCCCCACCACCACGTGGTGCCACCCGCCCGCCATACAGCCTAATTCATTATCGCCTACCCTGCGGTGCGGATGGTCTGTGAAGCAGATCTGGCACTCGACTTTCAGGAAGCGCTGTGCTTCGGCAATGCAGTTAGTCTGCCGCGCTGCTTCCACCACGTCGATGACATCATCCGACAAGCCCTCGTCGTGGATGAGGATAGCAAGCTCAGCCTTATTCACGTTGCCAAGGCCGACAACTTCGGACATGATGCAGCGAATGCGATGCTAGAGAAACACAAATGCAAGAGCAGATTCTCCGTCTTGTGAGGCCAGAAGTAAAATACACAGGGGGATAATTCACACAAAGACAGTTCATCATGCGCATCAAGAGAAGACCAACTATGGACACTTAAAAGTTTCCCAAATATAATTTCAACCTGTTCGGCAGGGCGTAGCAGCCGGTGCGGCCGGTCCAGCTTTGGCCGGACAACTTTTTCGCCCAGAAGTGCCCAGAATGCAGGATTTTGCACCCTAATATCAATTTTTCTCAGGGACATCCCCGGACCCCCTCCAGCCGGACCACCCCCAACGCCAATGCTACTACGCACCCATTCGGGTAAATACGCGAGCACTGGATCATCGATTGCTACATACTCGTCGG